CCTTCTAATATTGTCTTATATATAGCTGTTGAAACTTTGTTCTTTTTTGTTTGTTTCTTTACCCATTTACCCCTTCTGTGTTTCATTTTGAATCATTTTTATTGGCTTTTCTTTGACTTTACTGATTCTTTCCTTGTCTGTGCCTATTCTGCTGATAAACCTCTCAAAGGGATGCTTCATTTCTGATATAATTTGTTTTTATTTCTAGTATTTACATTGGACTTTTTATAGTTCCCATATTTCTGTTGAAATTTCTGGTCTGTTTAGTACTGTCGTCTGTTTTTTACTAGATACTGGTATATTCATTGTGGAGTCTCTATATCTGATAGTTCCAACAGCTGGGTCCCTTATGAATCTGGTTCTGCGATTATTTTATTTCTCCACAGTGAGTTGTATTCTGACCTTTCTTACTTGCTTTTAGGTGTAATGTATGCTTTCATTCATTCATTCATTCTTTCTGTATGTACTTATTTTTCTTCATTTTTAATGTATTCATTTATCTTTCCTTTTTCCCTTCCTTCTCCCCTCCCTCCATCCCTTCCTCCCTCCCTACCTTTCTTCCTTCTTTTTTTCTTTTTTGGAGGGGGCAAACTGCAGATTCCAGGGCCTCCACACTGAGCCACATCCCAACCAACAGGGATGAAGCCAGTGAGTCGTTCAGCAGTTCTGGGTGGAGGCCTCCATGAGCCCACAGCTCTTGTATTTTGCATGCCTATAAAGTCAGCACTATGTGGATGATGCCAGGGTCTGTTGCTGGCTTGAGAAATAATAAGACTCCCTTGTATCAAGGCTGCAGAAGTCTCTAAGGGCCTGGATGGGTGTATTCTATGCCTGAATGCCAGGAGACGAATTTCCTAGGCAGTCATTTTCTTTCTCTAACCCTGAGAATCCATCCTCTGAGCAGTCTTTCAGTTTTGTAGTTTTGAGCCTGTGATGGATGGGGCCTTGCCGGTTCCTCTTATGCCCTCAGTCCATCTTTCCCATTGTCCTGCTATGTTTAGTTTTTTATTTATTTTATTTTTTTTTTGTGTGGTGCCAGGGATCAAACTTGGGCCCTTGTGCTTTCAAGGTAGGCAGTGGAACCACTGAGCCAAATCCCCAGTCCTAGCTTATTTTTTGTTATTTTTTTTTTTGTTTTGTTTTTTGCTTTTGGTACTGGGGATCAAACTCCAGACCTTGCTCTTGTGAGGCAGGCAATGACACCACTGAGCTAAATCCCTGGCCTCCTAGATTATTTTTAATGTTAATCTTTTCAGCCATCAAGCCCTCCTCTGCTATCTTTGCAGGAAATTTCTTTTTTTGTTTGTTTGTTTTGTTTTGTTTTATTTTTTTGAAACAGTGTCTCACTATGTAGTTGAGACTGACCTGGAACTCACTACGTAGCTCAGGTTGGTCTCGAACTCACAGCGATCCTCCTGCCTCAGCCTCCCAAGTGCTGGGATTACAGGCATGTGCCACCACACCTGGCCTGCATGAAATTTATTTTTCTTTCTTTCCTTTTTTTTTTTTTTTTTTTTGGTATGAGGATTGAACTCAGGACCTTGTGCTGTGGAGGCAGGTGGCTGAACCACTGAGCTAAATCTGTGGCCCTGTAGGAAATTTCTTTCTGGCAAAACAGAAGACTTTTAAAATGGGCTTGTTGCTCCAGTTGCTCAGTATAAACCTGGCTAAAAGCAGTGAGCAGTAAACTAAAAGTGTAACTAAGGTCCAAATTGTATGACTGATAATGTGAAATAGGAAGAAAAGGGCTAAAAGCATAGGGAAAGGTAGGGGAAAAGAAATAAGGGACAGGAAAAAATATGAGAAAAGGAAAAAATGGAAACAAAGTCTTTGTAAAGGGGAGGGTGGAGGGGGTGAAGGGAGGGCAGGGGTATAGGGAAAAAATTTCAACTAAGATCTGTTATGTAGAGGTACAAGATCCCAGTGATGAATGTAACTGTACTGTATGCTTAAAAAGTATTAATAAACTCAATAATATTTTTTTTTTAAAAAGCAGTGAGCAGTATCCATGGTACAGCCTGAACATTGGGTTGCTTTGAAATTACTTCCACCAGATTAATTAGAGTACCGCCCCTAATCTCAGTCTTCCACAGGCTCAAGTTGTCAGCAAAATGTAGATAAATTTTTCACCAAAGCATAACTCACATAGTTTGGAGTCCAATTGCCAATGGAATACTTAACCTCTTTTTTTTTTTCAAATTTTAATTTTTTTTAGTTTGTGTTTGCAATACATAATGATTGCATTCATCTCAGGGAGTTGGTGCTTGTACATAACACATCTTAATTCTTTTTATATACCCTTTCCCTCCTCTCCATCTCCCCTCCCCAAAATAAAACCTCTTAAACCCGGTCCTTACTGTCTGTATTACTGTCAGCATTCTGGTCTTCTTAGCTCTGCCTAGAATCTCCAGTCAAGCTTAGCTTATAGCATTCTAGTACTTCTCTAGCCTTCGTCTCCAGTCCTTTCCAAACTTCCTGACAGTTTCCAAAGGCTTCTGAACCATACAGTCAGTATGGTTCAGTAGTGTCTCAGGAATGACCCCACTTCTCCGGTACCAAAATCTTACTTTCATCATTGCTGGGACGTAGTGTCCACACCTGCAAATTAAAGGAGAAGTTTATTTGGCTTATTTTTCAGTCCACAGTTTGGCTGGCTCCAAGGCAGGAAGACACAGCATAGGGGCATGGTAAAGGAATAGCTATCTGCTCACCTCACAACAGGAAAAGAGAGAAGAGAAAGAAAGTAAACCATTTTATTTTATTTTGAGTGCTTTGAGACATGATCTCGCTATGTAGTTCAAGCTGGCCTTGAACTCACCTTGTAGATCAGGCTGGCCTCCAACTTGCTGTGATCCTCCTGTCTCAGCTTCCCACTTCAGTGCTGTGATTACAGGCATGTGCTACCACACCCAGTGGGAAATAAACCCTTCTGGGCTATGCCTCCAGTGTCCTCTCCAACCGGACTTGCACCTTCTCAGAGCAAGTCAGCTATAAGCCCCACCTATGAGTGCATGAGGGTTTTAGGGTCCATCTATATTCATCACAGAGTCTCTGTCTGATAGTTCCAACATCTGAGTCCTTTGTGAGTCTGGTTCTTTAAAAAATTATTTTATTTCTTGACACTGAGGCTTATTCTACTTCTTTCTTGCTTTAATGCATGCTTGTTTGTGGCAGTACTAGGAATTGACCCCAGAACGTTTGCACTGAGCTATATCCCTAAAAAAAAAAAAAAAAAAAAAAAAAAAAAGTTTTCATTAGCTATATCCCAAAAAAAAAAAAAAAAAATGACATAAGGTTTCATGGAGTAGCGCAGGCAGGGCTCAAACGTGTGATCCTCCTGCCTCAGCCTCCTACAGAGTGCTGGCATATTTTCTGTTGAAAACCATATGTCCTGAGTAGAGAGTGGCAAACCCTAACATAAGTGGCATTTCTACCTGACAGGGATGAATCCAGTCTGTCATTAGTGAACAGGGTTTGGGTTTCATTGCTTCTCATGTTACCCTCAAGGCATATAAGGGTTCAGCCTCCTCCCGTGATAGTCTGCTCTACATGAGTGTGGAAGTGGGAGGCCAGTGGGGCTCTGCAGTGTTGCAGCTCCTCCGTCAGCTTCGAGCAAGTCCTCTGTCTGTGCCACAGAGTGGCTCTTTCCGCACTGTTGTTGTTCTCCCTCCCTGGTAGACTGCTGTTACTTATTACTTGGTGCATGTTTTTAGGGAGGTGAGGGGGGCTCCTGGTTCTCCTGTTTCACCCTCCAGTTTAGCACATGTCCTCAGCTGCAGGGGCGAGGCCTTTTCCGCATTCCTGTGTGCTTTCTCTCTGGCAGTCAAGCTGCTTTGGTCAGTGGTTGGTCCTGGGGAAGAGAATTGTTTTGCCCCTCTCCAAGGGCGGCAGACCTATACTTTGTAGGATCCTGGGCCCAAGAGGGCTGAGGACAGCCAGGGTCTTACTCAAGCACAAGGTCCCTCGTTCGATCTCTGCTACCAAAAAAGAAAAGAAAAAAGATGAAACCATCTTCACGGTTTGACTCTCCTTGAAGGGCTTTGTACATTTTAGAATTAAATTTCCTCTGTTGTCTTAAAACCTCAGCTTCTCAGTCTTGAGCTGCATAGGATGAGAAAGCAGTGTGTTCTTTTGTGTGTGTGGTACGGGGGACCAGACCCAGACCCTCACGCAGCCTAGGTGAGCGCTGTACGGCTGACCTGCACCCTCAGCCGCAGCACATTCTTGTTGCTTTCTGCATTCTAAAGTGAATCAGAACTCCTCCCAAAATGTATCTTTTGGAATCGCACCCCTACATTCCCTCCCTAGGCCTTTCATTTTCAAGATTTTGTTTACGCTCTACCCCTTAAGATAGGAAGTGAGTGGTTGTATCCCTTTCCTAGAGGCCACTGGTCACAAAGAGGGATCCAGAGAAATCAGATGTACCCATTACAGAGCGATGGGGTCTCGTCATTTCCTCCACACACAAAATCCCTCCTCGTGTCACAGCTTCCTGCTTGAAACACGAATGTGGACACATCCTGAGGGTTGTACCTGTGAGGTATTTGGGACACTCAGGCAGCCACAGAGCTCTTCACCCCCCGCCTCCCACGCCAAGAGGTCCCAGTGTTTCTGTGTGCGTTATCTCATCTGTCCTGGAGCCACCGTGTGACACGGGAGGAGACGGCCCCTGCCTAGAAACAGAGCAGGGAGAGGCCTGCGGTGACACCTCGGTCCTAAACCCAGACTCTGACTCCAGCCGGGCCCACCTAGGCTGCCTCACTGCTGTGTGTTAAGTGTGGGGTTTCCTGGGCACAAACACGGAAGTCTCCACCGTCATGCGTTCAGAGTTTGCGTGATTCATTTTGGGATTGGATCCTGAAATCTAAGGTGGTCTGGTTTTGTAGATAAGAAGAGTAGCCCACACAGGGTCGCATTCCTTAGGAAGGGTTCTGCGTGCGTCAGCACGGAGAGCACGCCAAGGCCCGGTCTCAGGCCTGCTGTCGTTTCGTCCTCTGCAGCTCTGGTCGGTGCCTGTGGTGGGAACTACTCAGCCCTGACATCCGTGGTCTATTCCCCCGACTTTCCCGACGCCTACGCCACGGGGCGGGTCTGCTACTGGACCATCCGGGTCCCGGGAGCCTCCCGCATCCACTTCAACTTCACCTTGTTTGACATCCGAGATTCCGCAGACATGGTGGAGCTGCTGGACGGCTACACCCACCGCGTCCTGGCCCGGTTCGACGGGAGGAACCGCCCACCCCTGTCCCTTAATGTCTCTCTGGATTTTGTTATACTGTATTTCTTCTCCGACCGCATCAATCAGGCCCAGGGATTTGCTGTCTTATACCGAGGTAAGGCATTCTTACGCCCTGCGGGCCCTCAGGGCTGTGTCTCAGGCTTCCCCATCAGGATGACTTTCGAATTTTGGGCAGTTCTTGTGGGACAGACCCGGACAGCGGCTCCTGGTCCCTCCCCGCGTTAGGCGCATCCCCTACTTCCGCTGCCCGACTTGTTTGTGTTTCAGTGTTGCTGTCTTAGTAGTTACAGTGGCAGTTTTCACGGGAGGATTAAAAGATTAACTACTAAAGGAAAGACCTGAGCTTGGCAGAATTGGAAGGCTTTCAAGAGGTGGTTTGCTCTGCACTCGGAACGTCCCAGCCAGTCCCGAAGACTGACTCACTGTCTCTCTTCCAACCCTCTCAGAGTGGAGCCGCACGCCCTCCCCTACCGGTGTGAACACGAGTGCCAGGCACACCTCTGCCTGCACCCAGGAAGCATAGGTGTTGAGGCTTAGCCTTTGTCCGGAATCGCGAACCCCAAGCAGGGTTTAGATGGTGGGTGCTCCAGGACGTGGCTGGGAAGAGGCCTTCCCTCCAGGTGGGATAGTCTTGAGGAGCAGGCAGTCTACAGACAGATGGAGAGGAAGCGGTCTTCCAGACAGAACAGACCCCCGCAAGCAGAGCCTCAGGGCTCTGTTTTGGGGCCAGTGGACGAGTGGAAGCGGCTGCTAAGTCAGAATGAAGGTCTGCTCTTGGTGACCGGCCTCCTCCTCCTCCACAGCCCTTCACCGTGCCCACCAGCTCCCCCTCACTGATCCTTTTGTGAGTGTGGGGGATCCAACTCGGGACCTTGCGCTTTTGAGTCAGGCGGCGGCTCCACTGAACTAAATCCCCGGCCCATTCATCCTTTTTGATCGTTTAGCCATCAGGGAGGAACTGCTGCAGGAGAGGCCCATCGTCACCCAGACACTGGCCGAGGTGATCACGGAGCAGGCCAACCTCAGCGTCAGCGCTGCCCACTCCTCTGAAGTCCTCTACGTCGTCACCACCAGCCCCAGCCGTCCGCCGCAGACCGTCCCAGGTTAGCGGCTCCTGGGCACCAGCAGCGGGGCTGGCAGCCACAGAGTGGGAGGTAGCGCTCTTGGTGGGCGGTTAGAGAAACGAAAGTGCTCCCTGGGCTCTCCTTCAGAGGTGGGTGGGATCCGACTGTGTGACCTCTAGCTGAGCCGCTGGAGCTGGAGAGGCGGTCAGCAAGGACTTGGCCTCGGGGTTTTCCCACTTCTCCCCTAACCACACAGAACCCGCATAGAAGGTCGAGCAGGAGGGCTGCTCCGGTACCCACTCACTCTGCATCATTTCACTGTGGGCATCAGGATTTTATAGGTCACGCGGCTCCCTCCTCAGATGAGAAAATTGAGGCCAAAGACTGTAACTCACCAGGGGTGGCACAGTAGTTCCAGTGGTGACAAGTGGTACCTCCCCTCTGGTCCTGACCACACTGATTATACTGCCTACCTCTGCCCCAAAGGGAATTTGTAGAACATAGCAAGGTACTGAGAAAGCCGGGGACTGCGTGCTTAGCCCAGCCCAGCTGCCCCTGCCACCACCTTCGCTTGCTGCCCCTACCTGCAGGGAGCTCCTCAGCTAGACCTGTGCCTCCGAGCTGCGGGCCTCTTTGGAAATTGAAGCACAGCCAGGATCAGTAACTGTCTTTCGCACTTGCAGGATGGACCGTGTATGGCCTGGCGACCCTCCTCATCCTCACAGTTACAGCCATTGTGGCAAAGATCCTTCTGCATGTCACATTCAAGTGAGTACAGAGAGCTGCCTGGTTCCAGGAGGGAAGGCTCAGCTTTCCTTTTGTCCTCTGTCTCACTGTGTGCAGGGGTTGTAACGTCAGAACGTGACTGCAGAGCCGTGAGTCCTACACAACATAAGGCAGCAGACATTCTTCCTCCTCTGTGGAGTGAAATGTACAACTGGACAAATCTCACTAAGGTTGGAGGGATCATGTTCATCCCTGTGTCCAAAGGATACAGTTTCAGGGAGGATTGAAATAATCCTGGCATGGAAAGGAACAATTTCCATTTTTTTTCCACTTGTGCTGGTTCCTTATAGAGCTTTTCTTTGTAAGAGTAAAGATTCCTAGGACAATGCTTTGCCTTTTCCTTAGGCCTTCTAGAAATTGAGAAACAGTCTTAGGGAGAGAATCCTAACATTTTATTAACATTGATCATATTTATTTTTGAATAATAATTTAATAGCTTATAGCGCCTTTATCCTTCAATTCTAATTTCCTGTACTTATTTTGCTGGTTGGGTTTAATAGTTCTCCCTTCCAGGAAAGGCGACTGTTTATGTTTGTATACTTACAGAGCAGAGTTCTTTCTCACTTTTTTCTAGACCCAGACCTCTGTCTTTCTTGAGGTTCCTGGTCCCAGACCTCCCCACTTCAAAGCTTTCCTGTACACTGATGTCCCTTAAAAGCCCTGTTTCCTGACCTTCTCATTTGCCATACATTAAATGTGGGGTCCTCTGTTGCCCCATGAAGGCTGCCTTTGGCCATTCTGTGATGACATCTCCTTCCTAGACATGAAATCTTTCAGCAGAAGTGATGCCCTTATTATTGTTTATTAAGCTACTCTCATGCCACACACACGCTGTTCTTTAGTATCTATGTGACTGGTTCCAGGAAACCTGTCCGCACGTTCCCTACAGCAGCAGGAGAGCAGGTTGGTTTCCTGGCCGAGACCTAACCGTGGGTGCCTAACTCCCCTCTGACATTGGAATCTTTCTGTAGCTTCCTGGCCTAGCACCTTAAGTAGCTTGCAGGGTTGGAGTCAGGCAGGTCTCTACTTCAAGCAGAAAAATTTTGCCCTAAGCCTAGTTTAGCTAAGTGGGTTTCCAGGTAAATTGCATTTTAAGACAGGGTGTTTGTTTGTTTGTTTGTTGTTTAAAAAAGAGGAATTTGAAAACTCAGAATCTCCCAGGCCAGGCTTTTTGTTTGTTTGTTTGTTTTTTGAGACAGGGTCTCACTGTAGTTGAGACTGACCCAGAACTCACTGTGTAGCCGAGGCTCAGGCCAGCTTTTTAAGACTGGAATAATTCTGCCAGTTAGAAAATTCCCTGTTACCCAGCACTATTTGAGAGGCTGAGGAGTGAGGATTGCAAATTCAAGGCTAGCCTAGGCAACTTGATGAGACCTTGTCTCACAATTTTAAAAAAGAAGAGTGAAAGCTGGTAATGTCGCTCAGTGGTTGAGTACTTACCGAGTATGCACAAGGCCCTGGCTTCATTTTCTAGCACCACACAAAGCAGGGGGTCCCCTGTTATTCCAGGAAGAAATCTGCCCTGCCACACTCCCCTCCTGTCCCCCAATAGGCACATTAAATCGGCACAGTAGTCTTCCGGACCTTCAAAGAAAGCTGTTAGGTCCTGCCTATGACCTGCCCTACTGGACGCATTGTTTCATGGGTACAGGTTGGGAGGTTGTTTGGGGTGCTTTGTTCTGATCCATTTGGAACATGAAGTTGTTTTTCTTTGACAGATCCCACTGTGTTCCTGCTTCAGGGGACCTTAGGGATTGCCGACAACCAGGAGCTTCAGGGGAGATCTGGAGCATTTTTTATAAGCCTTCTACATCAATTTCCATCTTTAAGAAGAAGCTCAAGGGTCAGAGTCAACAAGATGACCGTAACCCCCTTGTGAGTGACTAAACACCATCGTGCCTAGGACATGAGGTCCCTCTTTCAGCTCAAGGCTGCTGGGAGCCGACCTTGCCATGGTTCTCCTCTGACAAAGACCAGCTCTTCCCTGCCTCTCCCTCCTGAGAAGGGCACCCTGCTGCAGGGCAGCGGAATCCAGATTCCTCTTGCTTCATCAGCTGCACTGGAGAGAGAGACTCAAGGCCCAGCACGGGCCCTCCCTGCATCTCGCTCCGGTCTAGCAGTGGGGGTGTCACACAGCGGGGGCCAAGATGACAGAGGTGGTGGCAGCTGGCATTAGGCTCAGGTACATTCTAGACGACGGCTGGGTGGTGGGGAGGTTTAGTGTATATTGAACTTTTCTTCTGCTTTGTCCACACACAGATCGGGTTACTCTGGTCTTTACAGTTGGAACAAGGCCAGACTGGAAGAATTCTCAGGTCTCTTGAGGGCTGGCCTGGTTCCACAAGTATAGACTCCTTGGCGTGAGTGGCCCCAGATTCTGAAGAGCGCTGGTGCTCTGTGCTGACCCTGGAGCTTGGCTGTCTGAGTGCTGGACTGGGGTGGGCCTATTCCATAGGGCCTGAGAAGAGGGTCTAGTGGCCCCATTCATGTCACACCTGATGCCTTCCACACACACGCTTTTCTCTGGAGGCTTCTTTCTGCAGCTCGGTGAGCTATGGAGCCTTCTTGAGGGGAGGGCGTATAAAATATCCACTCACTGCTACAGACTACTGGAAGTGTTTATAGGCACTCAGTAACCCCTTTTGAATTGGATTTTTTTGGTGGGGGGCAGTACAGGCGATTGAACCCAGGGCCTTGCAATGCTGGGCAAGTACTCTACCACTGAGCTGCTTCCCCAGCCCTTTTCATCTGTTTTATTTTTTATTTTTGGTACCAGGAATCGAACTCAGGACCTTGCCCTTGCCAGGCAGGCACAGTGCCACTGAGCTAAATTCGGGCCCTCATCTTATTTTGAGACAGGGTCTCACTGAGTTGCCAAGGCCAGCCTTGAACTCGTGATGCTCCTGCCTCAGCACCCCGTACAGCTGGGCTTACAGGAGCACGCCAGTGCGCCCGGCTGCGACTCATTCATTTGGGCTGGCCCTGAGCTCATGGTCCTGGGGAACCCGAACCGGGCCGTGGGCTCTGTTGTCTCAGCTGACCCTCAGTTCGGAACAGAGTATAAAGACTGGTTTAGCCTTTAGACAGCATTGTGAGACGTGGGGCCTGCAGACCCTACTTTAAAACAAGACACAAAACACCCTGGGGGCCATGTGCTCTGCCTTTTCTTATGAGAACCCAGTGGGGTTATGACTGACTCTGTGGGAAAGAAGCGGCTCTTGTCCCTGGCCCTGTGCCACGCTGTCCTTCACACAGAGGTGACCTACAGAGCCTGGGGTGAGGAGGAGGGAGAGCTTGGGAACGGGAGGTGGCGAGCTCCAGCTGCTGTGGCTGCTGCTTGTGAGGACAGTGCCGTTTCTAATTGAGAGGTCCCGCCATCCGGGTGCGGGCTTTGTCAGCAGCAGCTGAGGAGCGCAGCCTGTGACCCTGCCGACACGGCTGTCCCGCAGGCCCTTGAGCCTTACTGCTTGTGTGCCGCCGCCCGCTCAGGTGCCCCCATTGGCTCTGGGCCTGCCTTCCTCAGATCCCTAAGCCACTGTCTGCAGGGTCCTTCTGGGATTCTAGCAACCCATGTGCACCTGGCTGCTCCAGGAGGTCAGAAGGTCGTATGTCTGGGTAGTGTCTGCTAGCGTGGTGACGTTTGACAACATGAGTCCAGGAGAGCTGTTCAGAGCCAGGAGGCAGAGGGGCATTCAGAGACATCCACAGGTTGGCAGAACGCCGGCACCGGTCCTGTGCAAGACTGCTGAGGGCTAGGAGCTGCTGGGTGTCGTCTTTCTACTTTGGGAGAGGCTGGTCCTCCTGGAGCCGCTGTCCAGACACAGAGGCCTGTAACACGCAGGGACCGTTGGAAATAGCCTGACACATGCAGTCCCCTCCAAGCTGTCGGCGGCTTTTGTGAAATCCCCTGTCAAACGCTAATGTCAGGTGTGGGCCTGAGAAGGGAGGCCTGTGCCTCTCCAAGGGGGTGTGGATTTGTCCCTGGGAAGGGCTGGCCAGGCCAGGGGCCTTTGCTCAGTTGCCCTGGGCTAATGCTAATCACTGGTCTTGGCCTTCCTGAAGGCCACGTGCCCATCCTGTCCCTGACCCTCCTCACATCTCAGGGCACAGGAGGCCACGCCCCGGCCCGGTGTCGTCTGAGCTGGACCCGGAGCAGCCCTTGCTCGGAGACCCCAGGAAGGTCAGGTGATGCTCCCGCACTCCTCCTCCTCCTGCTTGGCCTGGGCACAGCCCAGCACCTCCAGGACCAACTTCCTGTCTAGGGAGCAGCCCCGGGAAACCCAAATCCACCTCAGGACAGCACTGGGGCAGGACAAAAACACCATAAATGCCTGGCCAGGGCCTGCCTCAGTCAGAACATGGCGGCAGCACCCTACGGCAAATGAACACAAGAGAAGTAAAATTGTCTCAGCTGAGGCGAGCCCTGCTTCCGGGAGCCATGCAGGAGAAGGCACTTGATCTCCTCAGAAATACCTTTAGAAGAGAGGAGAGGTTGGAAAGGACTGGAAAGGGATGACCCTGAGGAAAGTAAAAGACCTTGAAAGAGGCAGGGAAAGGCGCAGAGCCTTTCCCAGGGGATAGAACTCGGCCTGTCCTTAGCCCCACCAGAGTGCGGCTCCTGTGGTGACTGCACCTCATCCAGCTGGGTCTGGCTGCCTCGTGTCTAGCGGTGTCTCACTGCCCTCAGCATCTCTGGGGGGGGAACAGGAGGCCTGGGCTCTTCCCCACTTGTCCAGTGCATTGCAAAGCAGAGGCTGAGCGGGGACGAATCCTTTGCCTCCCACATCGGTCAGCACTGGGTTGAGGGCTCTGGCTCCAGACTTCTAAGCCAGCGGCCCTCAAAGATCAAAGCGCTCCCTGGTACAGCTGTCCTGGCCCTCAGGTTGAACCCGTGGGGCGTGCCTGGGCCTAAAGCCACCGCCACACCCCAGGCAGCCAGCCAGGAGCCTGCCTGACCCCACTTGGGATATGGATCAGGATCTGGCTGCTGGTCTGACCAACAGGGCACGCAGCAGGCCATGACCCAGCTCCCGTGGGCACTGTGCACTTAATCTTCACAAGCACTTAGAAGTGGACAGCCTTGGAGACCCCTGCCCACCGCTCAGTCACTAGGGCCCCTTGGGTTTCAGATCTCCTGTTTGGTGTTGGGCGCTGGCCTTCCTCACTACCTTGGGAATTTAACCCTTTGATTGTTTCTCCTGGTGTCTTTGTTTACCTCCCTCCCTGTTCTACCTCCTGGCCAGGTCTCGGCTTAGCTGCCCTGGTGTGGGATGTTTTCAAACCTTCAGCCTCAGCTTGCCCCTCTCAGGCTGACAGCTCAGGGGCAACAGACCCCCGGGGGCCGTGGCGCGGGCTCCTGTCTGCCGAGCAGGGGTTGAGCGCACTCATGCGCTGAGGCGGAGACTGGGCAGGCTGAGGAGGCAGTGAGAGACGGTCTCCTGCGTCAGAAGAGAAGGGTCCTCGGAGGTCCCTCTCCGACCTGTGCGGTGGCTGCCATCCCTGGAGTTCACACGGTGCCCGGGGCTTCCCACATCCAAAGCCTCTCCCCAGCCGGGATTTTGACTCTGGATGTCAAGGCTTTATTTGTAAATATGCTCTTTAATATGCAACTTTGAAAACGAAATAGAAACATCATGTATTTTAAAGTATAAAATGAAGTGTGATGCACTGTATACAATTTAATATATATTTTTAGGGTTTGTTATTTAAGAAAATGGAATGTAATGGTACTTAACTTTTACAGAAGAGAAAAATGTTATTTTTACTGTCTGGAGAAAATAAATACTCTCATTGTTGTAGAAACAGCGGTGGGTCCCAGGCTTTTGTTTGGGGGAGCTCCTCCAGAGCCCATGGCCCAGCAGGGAAGCAAGGAGTCGGAGGTTCTGGGCCCTCCCGTGTGCCAGGCCTCAGCACTGGCTCGCCCTCGCCCAGATGCGTCCCGGGTGTCCTCGGGTCTGACCGGGGCGTTCATCACGGCTGATGTCAGGGGAGAGCCGAGCACAAGGCTTTCTGGTCTGCGCGCTGCCCTGCCCACGGCCTGGCATGGAGGTGCCCAGGTTCACCCTGGCTGTGAGCCAGCACGCTCAGTCTCAGGTCGCCCACCTGGGAATCGTAGTCGGTGCCGCTGGGGCCTGTGAAGGTTAGAGAGGACACACACACATGTGATCACCCCAGAGGAACCGGCCTTGCTCTTTCTCCCCACACACGAGGGATCATGCTGTGCTTCCTAGGCTGGTCTCAAACGATCCTCCTGCCTCGGCCTTCTGACCACAGGCACAGGTCACCATGCCCAGCGTCACCTTTTGCTTTTTGTAATATTCACAGGGCCTGCAGGTGCGTGTTGCCCACCATGCACCAGGCCCTCTACCTGGGCACTGTTTACGGCCTAACATCCATTTCCAGTGGGTGCCACTGCCCCTATGAGCTGTGAGGGAGTGGGCAGGCTGCTGGGGTTCAGATCCCCCTGCATTAGCTTCAGACCTGTGAGAGGGGACGAGGACTTTGAAGGGCTGTGGTGCAGGAGTGACACAGAGTCCAGGTTAGAAAAGTTTCCTCCGTGTACTCAGTGAACCATATTGGAGGAGACCAGTCAGGAGGCTCAGGGCTACGCAGTCCAGCCAAGGGCCGCCAGGGGCACAGAAATGGGCCACACTGCCGCGGAGGACTCGCCAGCCACGTGTGCCTGCTTTCTCATCTGACCGAATGGGGCAGTTGCGGGGCCTGCGCTGGTGATGCAGGCACCGCGGGAGCGATTTCCCAGGATCCTCTTTAATCAGCGGCCGCTGGCCCGTTCACTCAAGGACGGTGAAGTCAGAGGACACTCGGGTCTTCTGACCTGGAGCCTGGAAGGGGAGAGGGGCTGCTCCTTAAGAAGAGCACAGAAGCACCAGGCGTGACGGGAGGCCCGATGAGCCTCCAAGGCAGATGGACGGAGGGCCTAGGACCACACAAGGGTCGCGTGGAAAGAGCGCCGTCACGGGAAGATGCCGAGGGTCCGTATCCGGGACGACCCGGGAGGCTGCAGAGCACAGGTGAGGGGCGCCTGGGCAGGACCCGGCCGGCGGGAAGGTGCTTCCCCGAAGCCAAGGGTCCCTGGGCGTAGTCTCTGACCTGGCCGGTTCAGGCACGCGCAGACTGCTAGTTCTTTAAGGCCCAGTTTCTCCTAAGTCCAGCCAGGCTTACTAGGTATGCAGGGGTTTGGAGAAAGGGGCACCTGGGCCAGTCCAGCCGAAGAACCCCACCACCTCTGACACAGACATGTTTCACCAAGTGTGGTTCCCAGGGATCCCTGTGTGCTCGCTCAAAATGAGTGCCCGGGCCTGACCCGGAGCTGCCACACTGGCCTCCTGGGAAGCTACGCAGATAATTCCAGTGCCCAGCCGGGTCTGACCAGTGCTTCCATTTATCTGAGAAATCTGGCCACAGCCCTCTCCTTTGCAGTGAATTTTGCACACGCCGCTGTCCAAGTGAAGTCCCAACCTCCACCTCCTTAGCCCATGCAGGTATGTTTGTTACTCAGCTGCAAACGCTGCCCAGAGATCTGTCACAGGGCAGACGGGTGTGGCAGGGGATGCGTGTGCAACACGGCAGTTACCTGGTGCTTCTCTGCAAGGGCCATCACCTGGGCGTGAGATGGGTGCTCTCCACCCAGCCCCTACAGTGCCACCACCCTGTGTACAGTAGGACATCGGGCACTTTCAGTGTCTGCCTTCACTTGGGTGTTTATCTTCACTCAGCCTTCCTTCTCTTTCCCAGAAGCTCTTGCCTTCCATGAAGGAAAATATTTTTAATGGCAGGAAATGGCTGGTGGAAAACAAACAGGGTGGCCTTGCTGGTGAATTTCTTAGAGACAAATTGGGCGGCAACAGAAAAATAAATAAATGTGGCCAGAACATTCAGCCATTCCGTCAAAAGAATCCCCTTTGGGTTATGGGACAATGGTGCCAGGAAGAGACCATCCCAACCCATTCGAGTGGACTTCAGGGACCACTGACCTTTTGGGTGGTTTTGTTTTGCGACAGGGTCTCACTCTGTAGTCCAGACTTGTCTTGAACTCATGTGTGTAGCCCAGGCTGGCCTCGAACTCACAGCGACCCGCCTGCCTCAGCCTCCTGAGTGCTGGGGTCCAGGAGTGTGCCGTCATGCCCGGCTCGGGACCACTGACCTTGTCCTCACATTGTCCAACGTCCCCGAGGCCCATCCCCAGCAGCCAGTACCAGGGTAGCACCAGTGTCACCCTCTGTGAGGTCACCAAGGCCTCTTCTCCCTGTGAGGAGGGAAAAGGCTGTAAAGGGTAGCCTGAGAATCACATAGCAATCTCCTCTCCCCACTGGGCGTGCATGTGTAAAAGTGCAGACAGCCTCTTGGACTCTGGATTTGTCATGTTTAGTTAACTTGTGTTAGTCACTGGTACCAAAAATATAGATGAGGAATATGCAAGGGAAATTCAAATCTCTTGTTTAATCCAATACGGGGCAGTTTGCTTTTCTTTCCCACTTTTTGCAGTAGAGGATGGAAACCAGGGCTGTGCATGCTAGGAAAGTGTCTGCCACTGAACCACACCCTGTCCCCTTTTTCTTTTTGGGAGGAGGTCTCACTAAGTTGTCCACGCTGGCTCAAAGTTGTGATCCTCTTGCCTCGGTCTCTCGGGTGGCTGGGATTATAGGTGTGGGCCACTGCACCCAGCTTTTTTTTTTTTTTTTTTTTTTTGTACTGGGATTTGAGCCCAGGGCCTTTCCACTGAACTACATTCCAAGTCTTTTATTTTTCTATTTGACTAAACATGATAAATACACAAAGTAGCAGGTCCCCAGTTATGTTTTTATATGTGCAGTGGCCTTGTTTAGACAGGGACAAGGGCTAATATCTAGATGTGCCCCTGTGTCAGTTAATGTTTACTAGAGAAACAGATATAATACAAGATATACAAATATATAAGAATTTACAGGGCCGGGGATTTAGCTCAGCGGTTGGGTGGCCTGCCTCGCAAGCGCAAGGACCCGAGTTCAATCCCCGGTACCAAAAAAAAAAAAAAAAAAAAAAATTACAAGATTGGCTTACAATGGCCGCCTACGGAGCAGGACGTGGGAGAACGCGGAGGGTCTGTGTGCACATGGAGACCCAAGGATTCCGTCGAAGGTCGAGCTCGCTGCAGGGTCCCACGCGAGTCCATATCAGGAGGCCGTGGGGCTGCGACGGAGGGTGAAGAGTTTGAAGCCGAAGAGTCTGCGCCAGAAGCCAGGAGATGACGTCCAAGGCGAAGGCGAAGACTGGAGCCTCTCGGAAGAAACAGAAGCAGCTCCGTCCTTTGCTTCTCCCTTATAACAGCCAGGTGACGGCCACCGGTGTAGAATTGCTGAGCCAGCGGAGTGGAGCTTCTCTTATTCAAGTTGGCGCAATCGACTGTCACAACCCCAAAGTCTCATGGGCTCACCGGTGGGACTTCGGGGAGGGGACTGAATCATGGGTGTGATATGGATTGGCCCAGTGATTGTGTTAGCACGGTTCTGGATGTGGACGATGGATTTGCTGCAGAGGGAAGACCCACCCTGGCTGCGGATGGCGTCAACCAATAGGCTTGTAGGCTGGATAGAATAAAAAGGGAAAGAGCGAGGGCCGGCTGCCTCCACACCTGGACTGTTTCTCCTCCGTGCACTCCTCTGCCAGGCTGCCCTGCCTCGGAACCAGCAGACTACGGACTGAAGTCTCTACAAACTGTGCTAAAATAAACCTTTCCAACTACAAGTGTAAATAAAGATTGAAATGTATAATTGATAATTGAAACGGGAAGAAAAGGTCTAAAGGAGCAGGGGAAGTGGGAAGGGTAGGGGAAGGGAAATAAGGGAAAAGAAAAATTCATGAGGAAAGGAAAAAATGGAAACAAAGTCTTTGTAAATAGGGAAAGGTGGAGGGGATGAAGGGAGGGCAGGGGAACCGGGGAAAAAATAAAAACCAAGATACATTATGTAAAGGTACAAGATCCCAACCATGAATGTAACTGTACCGTGTACCTAAAATGTACCAAGAAACTTAATGGAAAAAACAACAAAATAAACCTTTCCTCCTTTAACTTGTGGGTGTCAGGTATTCTGTCCCAGCAGCGAGGAAAATAATTAAGACAATAACCCAGTCTGGGCTTGAACTTACAATCCTCTTGCCTCAGCCTCCCAGAGTGCTGGAATTACAGGTGTGTGCCACCACACCTGGCTAAGGCAGCTTTTTTATGGGCCTGAGTGAGCTGAGGAATGCTTTTGAATAGGTAAGGCTGACAACAATAGTAATAACAGCTCTCATTTCTGCGGCACCTATTGTGTGCCAAGCACTGGGCCAATGTCGCTGAATCCATCTTTGCAACAACTCAGTAAGGGAACCAAGGCTCAGAGAAGGGCTCCAGACAGGTGGAGGGAAGGGCCTGGACCCGGACCGAGCCGGGCAGCTCAGAGCTAGGCCCCTCCCACCACAGAGCGACAGTAGGGGGGTCCCCCAAAGATGATCATCCCGGATGTTGCCTCCAGGTACCCAGGAGAAAGTACAGATCAATTTGCCTGGGGCAAAGAAGACATAAAATCTACACCTCTTTACTTACTAGAGGACACTCCTTTAAACCAGATGACTATATGTGGCCCTTTCCTCAGAAGAGACCACACACAGGACTTCACATAGCAATTTTAGAAGTCAAGAGATCCCCAGAAACCTTTGTGTGCCCTTGAGGTTTACAATCTTTCCATTAAGCCATGAGTAGTCATTTGAAAGGCCGAGCCAAAGGGGCCACAGTAACAACAGTAATTATAGTAACCAGGCATACATATCGCTGACCACTCATTGTCAGACACACCAGGAGTCAGCAAGCCTTCTCCCTACAAGTCTATGTAGTGAACATGTTTATCAGTTCACGTTTCACATGTCACGAAATACAGTGGTACCTCGGTTCACGAACTTAATTCTTGCCATGATTCTGGTCACAAACTGAATTGGACGGGAACTTTCCCCATAAGGTCAACATTGAACCGAATCAAATCCAGTGGTTAGGTTCGATGTTTACCTTATGGGGAAATTTTCTTCAGTTCCCGTCCAATTCAGTTTGCAAGCAGAATCACGGAAACAAGTTCTCGAACTGAGGTACCACTGCACTATCCTTTCGATTTTTTTTTTCTTTCCTAACAATTAAAAAAAAAAACCATCATTCAGGGGCCACAAAAACAGCAAATCTACCTCTGCCAGCTCCTGCACTATGCTAAGCACTTTTCACTGGTATCAACTGAGTCCTCACAGCAACCGACGGGATGAGGCAACGTGTTTATCCCCATTTATCAGATGAGGAAAAGGAGGCTCCGAGAGGTTAAATAACTCGTTCAGAAAGCACAAGAGTCAAGACTGGAGCTCACCCCCAGCCTGTTCACTTTCTTGAGTGAGTTTGAACTGTGGAAGAAGGGAAGGAAAGCTGGCGGGGGAGCGGGAAGGGGACCCTCAGCCCCCACATTCTGCCCACATGGTCTGTGCCACGGGGAGGGCGGCGGTTTCCTGAGCTGCGCCCTGCTCCCTGGCAGCAGCTCCAAGGCCGGAGGCCCCAGATCGAGGACAGCTGGTTGTTCTGCGTCTCCCAGGTTCTCTTAGATCCGTGCGTGGGAGCCACCCTCCAGACGCCCAGCCAAATGCTGGGTTAAACTCAGCTTTTTCCCATGGAGAGGATTCTCCATTCTCTTAGAAACTTGCCTTTCTTCTTGGTCCTTCGGGGAGGGCGAGGCTTGTCCCCTTTGCGTGCCACCTTGGGTGTCTGGTTTCTGCCGTCCGAATCTCGGTGGAGGAGGAGACGGGGTTGGTTTTAACCGCTGCGAGCCTTGGCCTTCCCAGCCCATGGTCCACGGCCGGACGTTCTCCTGGCGCCCTCCGGAACGTCTCCGTCTGTCTCCCTAACGCGGGCCTGCGATTCTGGAACTGCGCCCCACAGACGCACTCCCAGCCGGACCTGTGCACCGTGCGGGTCCGTGGGGTCCGGAAGCTGGGGCTGAGGGAGGCAGCAGCGGGCGGGGAGGGAGACGGACCCGGGCTCCGTGCTGGTCCACGGCCGGACGTTCTCCTGGCGCCCTCCGGAACGTCTCCGTCTGTCTCCCTAACGCGGGCCTGCGATTCTGGAACTGCGCCCCACAGACGCACTCCCAGCCGGACCTGTGCACCGTGCGGGTCCGTGGGGTCCGGAAGCTGGGGCTGAGGGAGGCAGCAGCGGGCGGGGAGGGAGACGGACCCGGGCTCCGTGCTCCGTGCAAAGGCAGCCGGTGACTCCGCCGCAGGGCAATGCTGACTGTGAGCTCCGGGCCGCGGACCGGGCTCGGTTACTGACCTCGGTTCAGTGGCCTAACCCGCCTACTTTCCATCCGCTCACCTATAAAATAGGAATGACATATCGGGCTCAGGTACTGGCGAAGAGTCCTCAGGACGTTTTAACGACGTCCCACCCCACCGGCCCTAGGAATTGAACTCGGGGACTTCGCACTGAGCTCCCCTCCCAGCCGTTTATTTTTTGTTTTAAGACAGAGTCTCACTAAGCCCCTAAATTGTGCCTGCTGAGCTTAAGCTCGCCATCTTCCTGCCTCAGCCATCAGAGTGCTGGGATACAGACGCACGCCACCACATCCAGCTGTTTTTAATAACTGTTAGCAGTAAATTAAGAACGACTCGAGAGAACTCCAAGTGGCAAGGGCCCGGCCCACAGTGATTCTGCAGATGAGAGCTGAATCTCAAACCCGACTTCCCAGGGACCACTGAGAGCATGAAAAATAAACCTTCCTTGCTGATCGCTGCCTGTAGTGGGTGGTTTCAGTTCCGAACCAGAATTTGTAAGTTCCCTCAAGGCCCCAGCTGGGTAGACAGGCACGGCAAGACCTCAGGACCCTGCTCGCCCGGCTCCTCCTGCGCCCCTCGCCCTCTCCGAGGGAGCCCGCACGGCACCGCCTTGCTCACTGGCGCCGCCCTGTGGTCATGCCGGGGGCCCGCGGGGAAAGACCTGCCCGGAAGCGCCGCCTCCGTGTAAGCCCCTGCAGAAGTGTGGGTTTCCTGGCTGTCAGGCTGACACCTTAGCAACTCTCCGACTGACTCTCTAGAGCCCTGACCCCATCGGACTCCACAGTGGGAGAGTATTTTCTTGCAAATGTATTTATGCCTATTACGAAAGGGACTGAGTCTATCAATCAGCAGGGTCAGTCATTACATCTCCATTCTATGAAATGCTTTGTTACTATTTGAAATTAATGCAGCACATTTACAGATTTGTTATTAGAACATCCTGAGTGAAGCACAAAACCATTTTCGCCCCTCCTTTTTTGTTTTCCTGCGTCTCACTATGTGCTCCAGGGTGGTCTTGAACTCTGGGGCTCAAGTGGATCCTTCTGGCTCGGCCTCCTAGTAGCTGGGACCATACGCATGTGTCACCGTGCCAGTCTTTGCCTAAAATTTTGAAGATTTTATACTTTTATGTGTCGGCAAAAGCACAAGAAAAGTCACACCCAACACTCACTGCGGTCACCTCTGGAGCAAGAGGAAGGAGGGCAGAAATGCTCACATTTTATCTGATGTACTTACATGTGTCTTGAATCTCCTACAGTCCTGAGTCACATGTGCAACTTCTGAAAATAAAATGCACATTGACTTTTTTTTTTTAAAGCTTTGGAAAGCACAAAACACAAAGGGTAACATATTCCCACCATTACACAACTCAGGAAATCAGTCAAAATACTGGCGTGTGTATTTCCAGGACAGCCCGGGAGCGCTTGGGACAAGGCTCCGGGGGCCCGGCTGAGACGGCTCAACCAGCCATCCACTGTGCTGCCCGGTGTCGCCCACACCACTGCTCCACCTGGAGTCACCCCCAGAAACACCTGCTGAGGTCAAGGGGCCCCCCAGAGGCGGTTTCTCCTTACATCCAGTGAAGTACCCAGCCCTCAAGCCCAAAGAGCCTTTTTGTTTGTCACCTGCAAGATAAACATCTCCAGCCCCCTCCCACCTCCACTTGCTGTGCAAACATTTGTGCCTTTGGAGAGAGAGCAAAAACATGTCTTTTGCAAGTTCTCACCAAGTCAGTAATTAACCCTCAGTGATCCGGGCTTCTGATCTTCTGCCAGTGCGTCTGCAGCAGGTTGGGGAAACTACGAGGGCTTGTGCTATAATTTGGCGTTGGATGGGCCTCCAAGGTCTTGGAAGGCTCTCTGGAAAGGTCTCCAGCTGCATCTTTAAAAGTCCGAATTAGGCACCGAGGACTCTCTCCAGAAAGCGCCCCACACTGCCACCCAATGCCCCAGGAAAAGGGTTCTGAGCAGATACAGCATTCTTTAAAGCCCTAGTGTGAGACACTGGTGACAGCGGCACCCAGAGCCAGGAGGAACAAGGCTTGTCACTGTGCTCACTTGCAGGGACTTGGCCCTTTTAGTGGGGAATATTGATTAGTGCCCGAAGAACAGACTCCCTGCTAAACATTGCACACCCAGGGTCATTTCATTTGATGCCATGGGGCTCAATGCAGAGATCAGGGTCTTTTTGGTTCGGCCAGAGAGAGTAAGAGCTGAAAGCTGAATCCGTTAAGAGCCAAGAATCCTAACATTAGAGGCTGCAGGATCCAAAACGCTCAAGCTTCCCCATCCTTTTATTGGGGAAACAAGCTCAGAGAGACTTTGTTCTCGAGGCCTTGTGTCAATCAGCTTTCCATCACTGTAACAAACACCTAAGATATTCAGTGTATGAAGAGAGAAGGTTTATTCTGGCTCACGGTTTTGGAGGTTTCAGCCCATGGTG